ATGTGTGTGTGTAAGGCGTGAGGATAGAACAAGGAAGAGAAAGGTGAGACCGCGCGCGGTCCTGACCCGTTTATTAGGGTACTGCTCCGTAATTCGCCTGGTGTTGATCGAAGAAACCACGGAAAACTGCCGATCAGAGTAGCTCCTCCAAACAGCGGCTGAATTCCACGTAGCTAACAAGCTAATGACGAAAATATTACCACCTTTGGGACTCGAACCTAGGAGGTTCGGTCTGAGGAGGGATTGAAGAGACAGTAGTATTATATCATAAGAAATAACAATGTATGCGTGAACACGAGAGTAGATATTTTTTATAGGGACCCCTTTGCACCGGGGTCCGAATTTTCTTTTCTTCGCTGCCTTCATGCGTGGAGTGCCACCCGACCAACGAGCTAGAATATACTACACAGAGTGGCTGACCTTATGGTTTCAGAGCTCTTGGTGGACACTCTCTGAACTAGGGGCCGCCATATTTTCTGCAGTCAAAACATGAGTCGTGGCCCGTAGGTGGCTGTTGTTATTCTGAATCGACGTGTTGTTTGTATCAGATCTTATTCTTAAGTTGTTTTCTTTTTCGGTCATCTGTATTCAAATTATATTTAACTGTATTTAAATATTATTGTGTTTAGTTGTTTTTTACTTGTGTTATTGACAATTATTAATGACAACTGTCATGCAAGGGATATTGCTTATACTGGCCGACTTGATCTCTTTGCTTCTTATTCCAATAACATTCACTGTCAGGGGTTATGCTAACTTCAAGAACATTTTAAATAACTTCCATTCTTATTCAATTCGTTCTCTTTATTTATTGTCATTTTGTTTTTAAATGGTTGTTTCCTGGTCGTGAGAACACAGAGTAAGAGGATTTGTATTACGTGGCCCTCGTTCACCCTCTCTTAACTAGCGCTTTTGAAATGCTAGAATGCCCTGCTTCTCCAGAGAGAGCTGCTTTGACTACACAAAAAAACAAGGCTTCAATTTGCTTCAAAGATGGCGGCGCTTCAGCCACTCTACGAAGTTATTCTACCTCGTTCCACTCGACGGAGCTTCAGCGGCGGACGAAAAAGCTCCGTGGAAGTCACCGAAGAGAACTGCGCGCCAACCTGACGCGTTCAACAAAACACGCGCGAACAACGTAAATAAGTCAACAAGCGCGCTGCATAGCAACACGCTAGAATAAACAATAAAAAGTTTTTTCCCGTAATACAAAATGAGAATAACGCTTGTGACCAGAGGTACATAAAATGTTGTTGAACAAAACCACAGAAAATAGTTTTCAAAAAAGAATCATGGACACTGCTCAAGAACAACAAATGAATTCTCTCGTACAACGTTGCAATAAATTAAATACTGTAACAAGAACAGTGTTCACGAATACGGCAATAATTTAGTGTAGTATATAATATACAGTACAACAGTTCTTTGTATGCCAGGAATATTGAAAAAAATTGCTGATCCATTACGCAACACATGAAGAGCAAATATTTACTGGCGGGCGGCCGCTTTCTGGGGGTCAGGTGTCGCAGGTCTTCAGAAATGTCGTAAATAGTGATGCTCGGAGGATGAGAATTCAGTCGGTACGGACTGCAAGAGATTGTGCGGGATAACACAATCAAATATTTGGGGTTTCAGTCAAAATTAAAACGGCTTCATTCTTTGCGAATTTTCCCCGACTTTCTGAGTATTCAACAAAACCAAAGACATTTTTCAAACAACCGAAGGCAGCATCATTTTATTTCTTTTTCTGCGCGCGTTGGAAATTAATAATATACAAATTATGTTTTAAAGGAGTGGATTCTGGCCGTTTTAAAATTATTTTCAAAGGGATCCACAAACAATTGATCGAAAATTGGGGAAATATTAGAACCCAATGCAAGTTCCTTCGGTTGTGTATAAAATGTATTATTAAATGTAAAAACGTGTGCTGAGCACACAAGACCAGCAGGTTAATTAAGTTCATTTTTTATTAAAGAATTTTGATTTTATTTTGTTGCCTGTAGAAATGCCTTAGACATCATTTTGAAGAATAATTGTAAAAAATATATGTTGACATCAAAAGAGAACAATTTTGATTGTTCACTGTTTCATTGAGTTATTGACAGTCACGCATTAACAAGCTCACAGTTGAAATAATAACGGCAAAATCCTTTTAAAATTCAAGTGAATTTATTTATAAAATGTCGATTTAGAAATTATCAATTTATTTTAAAAACACCGAAAGATCTAATGTTAGATAGATTTATTAAAGTTCGCTTTGAGCTAATGCTCGGTGGCAAACATGATAACAATTAAAATTACAGAGAGAGATAACATTCCCGTTGTTCGCGACATATTAAGGGAAAAATTAAAGGACATGTGGAAACCAAGGGAATCAAATGGCCCCCTTTTAAAAGAAAAAAAAAAAAAAAAAATTTTCTTAAAAAAATTTAAAATTTTTTTTTTTTTTTTAAAAAAATTTTTATTTAGTTTTGGGGGCCCGGTTCCCCCCGATCCCCCTAAACTCCCTTTTTTCGTCTTAAAATGGAATCCTAGAGACTAAAAATGGGGCCCTGAAAAGAAAAAACAAAAAAGCATTGGGGGTTCCCTTGGCTTTTGGTCGCCACCGAAAATAACCCAGGACAGAAAAAACCGTGAAGTTTTTGATTTTGAAATAGCCCAATCAGTTTTTTTTATTCACACAAACATTGTTATAATAAAACTATATACATAATATCTGATATTATAAAACCAAGTTTTTTGGGCTACTTCTTCCAATGTTCAGTTTTCTGTATATGAAAGCAATATATCATCAGTTAAGTTTAAAATAACGATATTAAAAATTAAAGTATTATGTTTTGTTATTGTATATAACTCAGTTTGGGATCAACCGAAAACTGTGTGCAACAATCGCTCTTAGCCTATTGTGGTCAGATTCAAGAGATCAGTGTAATTCATTTTGACTCGCTCGATTTTTTCAAAATCACTGGATGTTTCGATATATATGATATAATATGTATATTCATTATAGGTATATATCTATATAATATATATATCAAAATCAATCAAAAGTTTCGTTAACTTTTCTGATTCATTTTTTGCGATACGCCGTGTCAGTTAACATCTCAAATTATAATCATAATATACTACGATCACTGATCTATCACCTCGCGCTCCCGTTGCCCTATAGACTCACAAAAGCGAATCTTAAAATTCCCATGTTAAAGCATTAATATTTTGA